GTTTTGCTTTGTGATACAGGGAAAGAGTGTTTTCTTTGTTTTGCTAGGGGGTAGATATCACAAACATGTTTACAGTCGAAAGTAATGGAAGGTTCTATTTGTTTTAGGGAAGATAATCTTGAACTAGATACATGTCCAAGTCTGTAATACCATATATCTAACTGGTTTTGACTGATGGCTGAAGTAGAAGATGCAGGAGCGGTATGAGGTTTGCAGAGTTGAACTTTTGATGAGGCTTGTGTTAGGTGGTAAAGTCCTTCTTTCTCAAAGGCAATCCCAATCATCTTCATCATTGATGAGTCCTGCAAAATGGAAAAAGAAATAGTGAATGTAAGGTTAAGGTCAGATTGCTTGGCAAGTTTAGATACGGATAAGAGATTAAAAGAGAAAGAAGGAACACATAGAACATTATGAAGAAACAATGTGTTAAAAAGGCAAACGGTTCCAATGTGGGAAGTAGGGACCTTAGTACCATTAGGAAGATGTATGAGTGTGTTAACAGATGTGGGTGCAGAGCAGTATAGGAGGGGTGAACAGATTATATGATCCGTTGCACCTGTGTCTAGGATCCAGGATAAGTTGAGGTGTGAGATAGATGAGGTAGAGTTGCAATAACCTGATTGGGTCATAGGATGCATTTTACCAGAAAACATAGATGTGGAGGCAATATTAGCTGCAAGTTGAGTGACATTTCGGGTAGAAAAATCAGAAGCTGTTGAATTAGCAAGTGCCATTAACTTTTGAAATTCCTCTGGAGTGAAAGAAAACCTTGGTTACTCATCACTATTCTGAGATAGAACTTCCTGTTTTGTAAGAACAACATGGGCAGAAGAGTTCCTTTTCCCTTTTGGTCCAGTCCAGCCAGGTGGATAACCATGAAGCTGAAAGCATTTGTCTACTCTATGTCCACTATAGCCACAATAGGTGCAATGTAAAGTAGATATTTTAGGCTTATCTTTGAATGCCTTGGACTGGTAGTTCTGCTGATTGAAATTTTTGGCCATCAAAGCATGTGTCTCATTATATGTACCAGTATTTGTGAGTTGCCTCTGACTTTCTTCCTGTAGCAGTAGAGAAAATACCTTGCTCATGCTTGGCAGTGGAACCATGAGTAGTAATTGGCTTCGAGTGGATGCAAAGGAATCATTTAATCCAATCAAGAATTTGAGGACATAGTCAAACTGTTGTCTGACTTGTAAAAACTGGAATAAATCACAAGTGCACGAGGCCATTTTTCCACAGGTACATGTGGGAAAAGGTCTATAGTTGATGTATTCATCCCAAAGTGTCTTAAAAGAGCTGACATATTTAGTGATGGACAGAGAACCTTGATTTATACAACTTAAAGATTTTTCTAGATGAAAGACTCTTGGTCCATCACTCCTAAGATAACGTGTCTTGAGTTCATTCCAGAGATCTATGGCAGATGTTACAAATAACAAGATGTTTCGTATATCCTTGGAGATAGAATTCATCAGCCATGATAGAACCAGATTGTTCGCACGCAGCCAAGCAGCGTATTCTACAGAATGATCAGCAGGAGGGGAAGTGATGGAACCATCAATGAATTTGATCTTGTTTTTGACAGTCAATGCGATGCTGATAGATCTTCACTAGGCTACATAATTTTCTCCACTAAAAATTTCTGATACTAATAAGGTACCAGGATTGTCGCTTGGATGGAGATAAAATGGACTGGAAGAATCATCTGAGGGATTGATAGCTGAATTCCCAGAATTCATTTCAGGAGTGTGCAGGAAGAAGAGGAGAAAGAAAATTCCTGAGCAGAATTTGAAGAGAGGGAGATTGATCTTGCGGTTTAATTATGAAAAAGCATCTCTGATACCATGTTGATTAATAGACTTATCCTGAAGATAGAAAAAATAGAAGAAGAGGGAGATAGAGAATCGTAGAAGCTGAACTTTGTAGATCAATTATTATTCATTGAAAAGGGGGAAATCTGAATTGCTTTACATCAAGTATTGGACTACCTTTTATACTACATACTAACTGAATTTTGAACTGCAATAACAAATATTTAACTAACTGGAATAACAGTTTCTAACTATCTCAACCACAGTAACCGAGGGCAACTAATTCCCCTAACTTCTTTGAGCTAATTCCTCTTTTCTTCTCAACTCCATGTTGTCAATGTGGGAAGCAATACTCCAACAGTCTCTCTCAAAAAACTGGAAAGCCAAGAGTTACTCTTGTTTTATTTTAAATAGATAAACTTTTTTAATATTTTACATTTTTTTTTCCTTCTATAAATCTCATCCTTACCTATAAGGGAGACTCAAATCCAAGTCATTGAGCAACCGCTAATCAGTAAGGATAAGTGGAAAGCCAAGAGCTATCTATAAGGGAGACTCAAATTATTAAGTAAAGTTATACAATATTTTATAAACCTGGGATCATTTGTGTATTTGATCAGTAAAGACAAGACGCTAATGCGAGGTTAATGAACGAATTTAGAGCCCGTTTGCTTGCAAATGTGGAAAATTGATGAAAAAAATATTTTATAGAGAATTGAATTGTTTAGAAATTGTTTTACTGAAAATTGTAATTAATTGTATTTGATTAGTATAATTTTCCACCTGAAAAATGTTGAAAGTTTGGATTCATTTTTTTATGAAAATTATCCATTAAAATGATAATTTTTCCTAAAATTGGGTCTAAAATTTGTTTCAATTGCCAAGAAAAAAATCTGAAGAACCAATTCCCACTAAAATGGTGGGAAATTGTTTTCCACAAAATCAAAAAAATTATAAGCATGTGAGGTAAAGTAAGAAAATTAATTATTGGAAAAACTTTGCCTATCAAACATGGCAAAAGATGGAAAAGTTCCATTTTCCATGGAAAATCTAAAATCTATGCTATCAAACATAGCCTTCATTAAGTGGAAATATGTGAAAAAATTATGAACTTATAATTTTGCTAGTTTAGGATCGTTAAAGTTATTGTCATTGTTTATTGAGACTTCGATCTCCAGAAAATTCTGTCATTATCCCTCCTCTAATTTCTAACATAATTGCATGGACTTTTGGTTCCAACTTCTATTATAGTGAAATCTTGAACATTGACATATCCAAAATGTGCCAAGTCTATAATTTGTAATTCTTCCTTACGAAATCGAAAGGTTGTTAAATACTAAATTACTATTCATAATGTGAAAGCATGAAAGTTTAAGTTCAAACGTGAGCTTTGATTGTGAATTGTGTTTGATTTTTTCAAATTAGAAGAACGCGTTTTGAAAAATCGTTCTTCCTGAATCAAAAATACAGTTATGGGTCACTTCATAGGCGAGAATATTGATTAAAAAATAGGTAAAAAAATCTTTATTCTACGAAATTTGTGAATAAATCAGAGTTTAATCAAATTATAATAATTTATACGTATTTACAAACATGGACTAGGGGCATGTTTGACAAAGCGTATATTATAATCTAAGGTCTTCATATCAACACATCCTGTTGAACTCAGTATTCAAATTTTAATTTAAAAACTCTCGTGAGTCTGAACTTATATAAAATAATTTGTACGAATTAAAATTTTACCTCTTATTGAAATGAGTCGTCAGGACTCTTAACCGCCAGATTGTTTACATGAGATGAGCTCACCCATCTTCGAGCATGCGGTTGGTTGACTGCACAGGTTAGCCAATTAAAGAATTTCATTGGATAACCTATCTCTCTCCACCCAGTAATGAATTAAATACGCGTTGGATATCGACAATTGGCACAGATTTCTTGACCAGGCGAATATGCTTAAATGAGGCTGGGTGGATGCTGATTAATATAAACAAAGCCATGCTTGAAAATTGAAAAAAATGTCATGTGGGTAGCAGCAGTCTATACAAAATTGAAGGTCACCATGTTTTACAACTTCTCAAAGAAGACGCCATAAAAGATAAAAGAGAAATTTAGTGTTCATCTAATTGAATAGTGTAGTTTTACGATAGTACTTGCACAAAAAGGATATGAAGGAAGACTCGTTTATTATCGTTTAAACTTTCAAATCAGTATTTTGAATAATTCAATCATATCACTCTGGTTCGTAGGCCGTAGCCACTTCATCTTCACTTTATGCACCATTTGTCCGACAAATCTTTCTTGAGGCATTGCAAGTAGAGTCACAAGCAAGATTGGACGCCGTTATGCTATTTGATTGCATAATTATTTATTTATTTATTTGTGCTAAATATTGAGAAGATAATATGTACTGCGAGCTTACGCTTATTTTTTTTTAAGAAAAATGTTAAGGATAAAATCGAAATGGATTTGGAATCGACAATTCAGGTTTTGATTTCAGTAATTATGTGAACTTGCATGGTTTCATTTACGAAATACCCCGAGTATAATGAATGGTTACGAGTATTGAAATACGTTTAAGCCTAAATTTCATACTGACACGTTTAGTTAAGTTTTAAATGCCAGCCAAATTTACTTATTTTTGTAAAAAAAGTAAACTTCCTACTTGTTTTGAATTAATTTAAATATTAGTCATAAGTACTTTATTTTTTTAGCCCAGGCAAACATGAAGTGGGGTCGCATTGAAAATCCACTAGCAAACAAAGTGCGCTTATTCTTCTTCTCTCCAGTTGGTGGGGTTTGAAATAGTAATAAAAGTGGGGTGTTGTTTCTAGAACTCCTTCCATACGACTTTCTCTAGACCATCCAATCCTTCTATATAATATCCCTCAACCATTTCCTCACAAGGAATTCCAAATATCCATATTCCAGATGAGGAGTTATGGTCTTCCTCTCCAAAGATGAAAAAACCAATGGAAATTGCTAAAATCATCAAAATTCCTAAACACGATCTCGTTCATTCTCGCGTTTTTCTGTTTGGTTTCTATTGCTGGGATTGGGAATTCCTCACCGCTCTCTTGCTCTTTAGTTGTTCCTTTTAATTCTCACCAGATCGTACAAATTTATATAGGAATTGAATCAATCTCGTTTTTTTAAGGTTTTTATTGGTTTTTGGAGGTTGATCGAGTTATGTCGCAGAGGAGCGTTCCAGCTCCTTTTCTGACGAAGACGTATGATCTGGTGGGCGATCCGAGCAGCGATGATGTGATTTCTTGGAATGAAAACGGTACAGCGTTTGTGGTCTGGAAAACGGCTGAATTTGCTCAGGATTTGTTGCCTAATTACTTCAAACACAACAATTTCTCCAGCTTTGTGCGCCAGCTTAATACTTATGTACGTATCTGTTTCCCTTTATCAATATTCTATTGCATATGCATGTATCTGCCATCGATGCTGTTTGTTCTATTTACTGTTCTGGAAGCACGTGCAGTTTTTTGCTGAGATTTTCAGTGGTTATTGATCCAACCATGTATTATTATTGTGTTAGGTTTGAACTAAATTGTCTTCAAGGGTAGTGTTTTGCTTTGCTTTTCAATCGGAAAGTGGTGGGATTAAAAAATTATAAATATTAAATTGTAGATACTCCCAAGATTGAACTTCATTTTCACACCTACCCAACAATGAGGTTTAAAGGATGTTGATGGGACCCTTCACCACGTGATTAAGCAAAAATGTTTTGGGTTATGGCCCAATAATTGCTTTTATTTTTAATTATGATATATTTTGGATGCTGATTTAGACCTTATTGAATAATAATAATAAAATTGGGTCCTTCTTATGAAAGTGGAAGCAGTCTCAAACGGGCCTATGCGAGTAAAATTCAACTATTATATATGTCCGCATCCCACAGTCCACGAATAGGCGTGTAAGCAAAACGGTAAGTTAAGATGTCTTGTGCTAATTAGGACCGCACATGGTCTGTTTCGGTTCGATTCTAAAAAGAATTAAATCGAATTCGAAATTTCGAGTATTTAGTAAATGAAATTGTCGGGTCAAATTTTAATTATGGAATGGTTCGGGTTCGGTTCCATTCAATTTGATTCGGTTCCATTCGTTTCTATGGTTCCGTACAATAATTCAATTTTTTGTTATTTACAACAACGTTACATTTATTCAACTAATGACTATTCAAATTTAGCTCTTTCAAAATAACGTAATTCAATTTGCTCCTCTCTTTGTTAAGTTTTCATAGATTTGACAGTTAAAATCACAAGAAAAAGAATATAGCGAGCTCCCAATAACAAAGAGAGATTTCCAGTTCAATTTCTCCATACATAAATGGCACTACGGTAGAATAAGATATTTGAGTAAAATTTAGGTCGATTTGATTAATTGAACTTGAGCTGGAAATTAGAAATAGTAAAATCATATTTTAGGTTTGGACTAAATTAATTAGTTAGCAAATTTATTTAGAAAAAAATAAAATAATTTGACTTATTTAAAATAAAAAAATTAGGGATATTCGGTTCTTATTCGATTATTTAATTCTTGTATAGAATCGAGAATCGAACCGAACCCATCGGTTCTCGGTTCAAATTCCCGTTTGAGTATTTAATTTAAAAGAACCGGTTGATTTGATTTGGTTCAAATCGGTTCGGTTCTTGTTCAATTCGAGAGTTTTGTCCAATCCTAATAATAATTAATAAAAAATGTTGAGAATAAAATGTGACGAAAAGAAGTTGGGGGCATAAAATAAAAATGAAATTGAAATTTTAAATAATATTATCTAGTTAATTTTCAAAGTTTGTTCTACCAAAAATAGAGGCTTAAATGAATTTGAATTTAAAAATTCTTTAAAAATCGAGTTTAAAAATTAAAACATTGAAAATTTGAACCGTCGAATGGTCAATATTTGTTGCTGCTCGTATTCATTTTTTTTTTTTTTTAATAATCTTGTTATGTTATAGCCAAACTTGGGGTTTATAAGAGAGAAAATTCCAAATTGGCGGCGTGATGTCTGCATCAATATTTATATTAGTGATGAGCCAAAAATAACATTCAACTTTAGATTTTTCCATTTTTTTTTTTTTTGACGGCCCGAATTATATTTTGATTATTTTCTTGTTCAGAGTTTCTAAATTAATTCACTATAGCTCCTATTTTGACAATCATTAAAATGGTTAAAAAGTAGAAATAATTATTTTTTGGAGAACGCGTAGTTAAAAGGTAGAAAAAAATTTAGATTTACGTGTAAAATATTTTATTATAAAAAAGTGTAATTAAAAATGAGTTTGAGAAAAAAATAATTTCATTTTAATTATTGTCAAGGGGGGTAGTTTAATATTGAATAGTAGAAATATATGTGGTGGCGATCAATTTCATTCGCTTTTAGTCCTAACATTTGCAACTAAAGTCAAATAAATATTGGTTAGTGGTAGGGTTAGGTCCCATCAGCATGAGGGTACTGTTCCAGACAATACAAAATGGTTGGAATATTTACCAAATCCCAGGTTTAGTCAATTATTTTGTTGCTTTTCGTGAATACTAAGAGATCAAATAGAACGTCGTATAAATGATTTACTTCCTTTAAGATGTTAAGCTAATGCAATAATTAGTTATGAATTGTTTGCTTACCCAAATATTTAGGATAGGGCAAGACTTGTTTCTAGAAATTATGAGTTAAAATAGTCGCACATATTCTCTTGTTCCTCAGGGCTTTCGAAAGATCGTTCCAGACAAATGGGAATTTGCCAATGAAAACTTTAAGCGTGGTCAGAAAGAATTTTTAGTTGAAATCCGTCGTCGAAAAACGATGCCTTCACAGAATCCATCAGGGGTAAAACATGTGGCTACTGATAGTCCAACCTCGCCGGAGAACTCTGGGGATGACCTTGGCTCGAGTTCGACCTCATCTCCTGACTCCAAAAATCCAGGGTCATTAGGAACACAAACATCAGCACAACTTGCGGACCTATCGGGTGAAAATGAGAAATTGAAGAAAGACAATCATATGCTATGTTCAGAGCTGGCACAAACAAAGAAACAATGCGACGAACTCATTACCTACTTAAGTCAGCGTGTAAAGGTGGCGCCAGAGCAAATCAACCAGATCATGAATGGTAGTGCCTCTAATATCGATGAGGTGGGTCCATGCAACAAAGACGTGGGTGGTGGAAATCTCGATAATGATAATGACGAAAATGTAGAGTGTATGAAATTATTTGGAGTAATGGTGAAGAAAAAAAGGAGTCGTGAATTGAATCTTGATTTCTCTGAAGTACGTAAAAAGGAAATGAAAAAAGCAGTGGAGGATAGTGTGTCTTGGATGAAAATTTCTGCGTCGTCCGGGGAGAATAGCAAGGTCTATAGTTGATCGTCTCTAGCGAGCATCTTGTTAAGTTAATACTCATATGGCACTCAATATGTCACATGGAGATTGAAGTTACATAGAGGGACTATGAAACCTTTAGGTTGGGTGGTTGTAATGTCATCATAATGTAGTTAGAATTAATAATTGTTTAGCGGGCTTGTTTATGAGTTGGAAGATCAAAAGCAAATGTGTTTCCCAACTTTTCCATGTCTTTGTATACTATGTATGATTTTGCACTTTTGTAAACCAAAAACTTAGGGTTTTGCAATTTCATAAATAATTGTAATGATTTTATTTTTCACTATATTAGTGTCCTCTTTTTTAGTGTCATTGTGATATTTAAGGCTGTTAAAGATTGATTTTGGTGTTATATTATACAAATACAATTCTATATATTTTATGTCAGCTAGAAATTCAAACATTTTCTCGTGGTGTTCTAAAAGGTTTCCTTTTTCGTGCAATGATTTCATTTATTAAAGGCTTTCATTAATTTAGAGTATCCCTAAAAGACTCTCTAATGAAAAATAAGTTTGAAAAAAATCTTTATTTTAACTTTTTAAAATAAAAGTAGGTGCGACTTTCCAAATTTAGAGAGTCAAATTTATTTTTTATTCTTAATTAACAATGATTGCATTTAATAAATTACAAATTTCATTACTCTACAATTTAAATTATTTAAAACATATTTGAATTGATTGACTATTACATATAAAAAGATCATGTTAAATTAGAGATGATGAGAAATCAATAAATATTTAATAGAAAAAACAAAATAAAGAGTCAAAATAGCAATGTTTTAAAGTCAATCCGTGCATTGACCAGAAAAAGTGAAATGGTCAAGGGTTAGAAGGTCAAATCGAGTTCGAACCAGGATTTAACTGAATAGCTAAAAAAGATAAATAAATATATTTTCAAACAGTAAAGAATAATAGGTAATAGCATAAAAAGAACTTTCTAATTTTTTACAATATTGTGATTTGAAATATTTGAATAACTTTCTAATTTTTTATTAATTAAAATAAGATGAAAAATAGTTAATTAACTCAATAAAATAATTAATCAAAAGTGAGAGGATGAGGGAAGAGAGAAGAACAAACATCGATGACTAGAAAAATAAAAAAAATTGGATTGTCTATATCCAAAGACGTGTCAGTGAATGTGCTTTTCATTGGTATATAACTTTATACTTTATCCCGCGTCGAATTCACGTGTGAAAACCATGGGGAATTCATTCTACAAGTAGGTGGACCAATTAATAGACGAATAACTTTTTGGGCCTTGTACTTTAGTGGGCCGAGAGTTGAAACATCCAAAACTTGAAAATTTAACATTCAAAAAAGGGAAGATTTTATAACTGAGAGGTTATGTTTCACAAATTTCAAATTTAAAAAATTAAGTTTAAAATTTCAAATCCTAATTTTTTAAATTTTTTTATAAATTAATAAATTTAACATATAGTTTATTAATTAAATATATTAATGTCACAATTCCACATAATTTAATCACAAATTCCATATAATTGGTCAAACAAATTACAATTTTTATATGTCACAAATTATTTTACGGTCACAATTCAAAAAATTTATAGGTCACAATTTGTTCATCGATCACAAATTAAAAATATATACATCATAATTTATTCATCGATCATAAATATATCAAATTAATAATCACTTATTATTTATTGCTCACAAATTACAAATTTTATAAGTCACAACTTATTTTATGGCCATAAAACGTCAAATTAATTAATCACAAATTATATGTAGGTCACAATTCATCAAATTATTGGTCACAATTCCATAAATTTTTAGGTTACAATTTATCTATTTCATTGGTTACATATTATTTATTGGTCCCACACCAACCAATTTATTGGTCACAATCAATCAGATCATTTGTGACCACCACCACATCGTTGCAACAGCCCAAACCACTGTCGTCAAAACCACCAACACCACCTCTCAGCAACAAAATCATCATCTCGAATTTGATAAGTCGTGACCATCACAATCGCCATCGCCATTGCCACCACCAACAACAAATCAGATCTAAAATCGACAACACTCTACAACCGCCATCATCTCACAGCCATCGTCCCCACCTCCACCATGTCGCCATCACCACCACCACCATTTTCAGCCACCACCACAACTACCATATCCAACCTACACATCTTCGCCGACCTATTAATAAAAAACTATCACGGCAACAATACCTCATCGTTCTCGCCAGTTCTGCTACCGTCACGCGACCAACCACCACACATCGTTGCCTCCAGACCCAACGCCATCATCAAAACCACCTCACGGGCACTGTGAACACCAACAAAACAGATCCAAAATCGCCCAACACCCCACAACCGCCATCACATCACAGCCATCGTCGCCGCCTCCACCACCGTCACATCAAACAGGTTACTACAGCGGCAACGATGGTGACGACAGCTTCAATTTGAGAGTATAGAGACGGTAGTGAAGAGAGAATGGATGGGAGATGAAAGAACCGCCGCCGCCGCCTATCGCGTACCACCACCACCACTACCACGACCTCCACTTGCACCACCAACAAAAACCTCAACAACTTATCGTCACGCTCATTGCCGCCAGATCCAACCTCACCGCCGCACCTCTACCTGCACAACCAACAAAAAACCCCTAACAACACCAAAATCGCCCTAAACTACCGCTACAAACAGCATCAACACCACCACTACAACCCCAAGCAGATTCACCATCATCGCCACTATTGAAAACCATATGCGGCTCTTAGATCTTCGTACATGGAATTAAGCTGCGGTCGCGATCGAGGCCGCCGTCGCTCGTATAGCTATGTTGTCATGTGGTAGTCGCACCGACGCCGTAGAGAGGGGGGAGAGAGATGTCGAGAGAGGATGGAAGGAGGATAAAAAAAGGTTTGGGTGGATAGGGATGGGTATATAGATTAATTTAGTTTTAAAATATTATTATTATTATTATTATTATTATTTAAATATTTATTTATGTTCTGATTTTTGTAAAAATAAATTTTAAATCCGACTAATGTTAACTTAAAAATTCTGGATTTATGTAATTTTCACTTCAAAAATCGGTAGATTAAACTGGTTTTGGGTCTTTCGGTTCGTGCATAAATTGGCCAAATTTCAAGTTTTACCGATTTTAAATTAAGTGGGTTTTAAGATAAGATATAATCGGATTTCAGACTAGTTCTCGAGTTTTCAGGTTGAACTGACTGTTCGATGTTATTAACATTGCAAAATAGAAAACTTGTTGGAGTGCATAAACAAATCACTCTTTAAATTATCTTTAAATTTAAAAATGTTCTCTATTATGCATAATATGTGTCTTAGCTTCTATTGGTTAGCTGAAAATCTGATTTTTTTAGTAAATATTAATAAAAATTGATGAAGCATGTGATTGAAATATTAATATTCTCATATGATATGTGCTTAAAAATGAGTTTTAAAAAATTGAATTTTAAAATTGGGGACCAACATGTGGTCTTAAGACTCCTTCCATCCTATAAAGATAGATTTAATTTCCTTTTTAATTTCTCTTAAATATTACACCACTTTCCTTGTTGAGAGTGTAGTTATTTTCTTTTCAAATATGTCTCTATTTAATGTGCATTGTTACAAACAAATATGAATTATCATTATTTAATGTAGAAATAAATTAGGAAAAATGTAATATTTCGATCATATTAAGCCTTTGTTCGACATCCATTTTTTTCTCATTCGCTTTCTCATTTTTTTTCTTTCTTCATTTCAACCACACATTTTATCAATAAAATAATATTAAACATAAACCTAAAAATTCTTCTTATTTTTTAATCACACATTTTTCCATCAATCACTATTCCAAATCAAATTCTTCCATAACATGGGTGTCAAACAAGGGCTAAGAGCCTGTTTGGTCCCATTTTTTAAGAGTACATTTTGGAATAATAGATTAATAGAGAGTGTGTTGTTGAAAATACGAAAAAAATTTGAATTTGCGTATAATATTATTTTATTAAAAAATATGTGATTTAAAAGATGAAAGAGAAAAATGTATTTTGAAAATAATAGAATCAAACGATGTCTAATTAAGCCCATGTGGGCTCCATTAAAATGAGTTTTTGAGGAAAAATATATTTTGGAATAGTAAGTTTTTGAAGAATGTGTAATTGTAAAAAAAGAAAAATTTTAAATTTACGTATAAAAATATTTTTATTAAAAAAATGTGTGATTAAAAAGATGAGAAAGAAAAATGCATTTTAATTAAAATTGAGCTCAAACATGGGCCAAGTTTTCTTAACTTGTAAGAATGAAAAAAGAAAAAAAAGAAAAAAATAACCTTAACCCTCGTTTGGCAACTATTAAACTTATAATCAATTTGTATCTCTCTTCTTATCAAACACACGTTCTCTGATAAAACTATATTACACATAAATCTAAAACAATTTCTCATTATTTTAACAACACGTTTTAAAAAAAAAAACCATTCCAAGAATTTTAATGGGGCTAAACGAGGGCTAGTGCCTGTTTGACACACATTAATTTCTATTATACTTTGTTATATGATCATTTTAAATCATAAATTCACACAATTAAATATCTTACAAGTATATAAAAAAAAATTCTTATTTTTTAACTACATATTTTTCTAAAAATCATTATTCAATTTTTTTTTTAATAATAATTGTCAAACGGACTCTTATTTTGATGGGACGGATGGAGAGTTAATATTTGAGCTACGCTGCACGACCTGTTTAGATTTATTCTCAATATTTTAATAGGCTTTGATTAATTTTGATTTATGTAGTTTTGGATTTAATGTAGGCTGTGTCTTGTCGAACCCACGTCCATTTTGTGGCGTCTGCCTAAAAATATCTCAAACAAGCAATGAAAAAGAAAATTGCATCTTCCGATGGCTGTTTCCTCCACCCAATTCACACACTCAACTAGCCCAGTATTTCCATTTTCTTCTCGCGTTGCACTTTCAAGAACACAAGTTTCCTGCTCTTCATCTTCCATGGATTCTGGTGCACTTCGAAAAAAATTCATGGAGTTTCCATACGTGTCGGCCCCACATCGAAACTTGATGCTGGAGCTAATATCTTCTATGGAGACCCGAATTGGAGATTCCTTACAACCCTGTACTCTCCCACCCGATGTACAGTATTTTGAAAATCCCAATGGTAGTGCACATGCTTCTCTCCACCTCAGATCTGGTGTTCCCTCCTCCCAGGTATCGTATCCCTTTTCTTTTTTTTTAGTTGGTTTAGTACTGGATATGTAGTTTACTGTGGAAAATATATTGTAGATAAATAATTTACCTGTAGCTAAGATTTCCATCCGCTACATGATCTAATTGTGATGTTAGAATCAAACAATTTTTTACTATTCGGATACGGGCATCTTATGTTTTAACTTATAGATAACATTTAATAATTCAGACATGGTTATCTTATTATTTTCCCACAGTGGCTGAATTAGTCGAATTTGACAAGATAGTTGATTCGCATAACCTTCTGGAAAGATATTACTGTTTTACTTGGAATCACAAATTATGACTTATAGAATTGGAGTACTTGAGTTCAAGTTTGAAGCAATGATTGAGAAAGTTCTGCAAGAGTATAAGCATAAACTCTTGATCCTGACCAGAAATCGTCTAGAGCATAAATCATTGTTCCTAAACGAGAAAATACGTCCATTGTGTGAGTTATGTGGAAAGTTTAAGCATATGCCCCCATCAAGACCTGTGTCTTAGGTGCTGTCTGCCATTCTTCTCTTTGAAGTTTTTTGGTTTTAAGAAAACAAATGAATGTATGAAAATGAGAGAGAGCTCCAGAAAGAGCCTTGGTCTAGCCTTACTTATAATTTACATGCAAAGACTAAACTATTCAACCTGTAGCTTGATGCTCTGTGAGCTTTTTTAACTATTTAACTTGCACTATTTTCTTAGTTGTGTGGTTCGACGTGGATTGACTCACTCGTCTGCTCTATGACCTAGTTCTCAGCCTATGCAAAAGCTGAAGTTTGGTAAATGAACTACAATGAGTAAGGAAAATGCTTGGCTCCAAACTTGGTTAAAGGAATTCACCAATTCTTCCAACCCACTGGCATATTGCCGTGTCATTCGTCAGGTTGCCACATATGTTGAACCTTATGTCTCGCACACGATAAATAATTAATTCCACTTGAATCGCGCTATTTTCTTCTCCAAAAATTAAGTGAACCCATGCATCTTCTCATGGGATAGTCTAAATAGTGTCTCTGCACCATTTTTTTACTCAGATTTCCATTTTTATTTACCATTTTACATCAACAACATTTTCTGATATATGACGTATTTTATGATATGGTCCACTCTATTATCGAAAAAGAAAAGAAAATGTAGTCATAGCCCAATCACAAATGATGAAGTGATTGGAAAGCTCAGCAATCACACCAGTGAACAATTGATGTGTCTATACTGTTTGCATGATTCCTTCTATACAAAATTAGATACTGGATGCTCAAATTTTTATTCCGGACAAACAATTAAGTAAACTGGGTTTTGCCTTCTCAAAAATGATAAGCATGCACTCTCTTAGCCTCGTAGGAAGACCACGTGTCTAATACTCCTAAAACTATCCAAAAATAAGAAGTGTCATAATTCTTGACATGTCCTACACTTCTCCAACAAAATGTGGCCTTTTTGTTAACCATCTTTGTTCAAGACTAAGGGTGAGCATCTTGTGTTGGAGGTCTATTTCAGGGTACGCCTACCATCAAGTGCTCTATATCAAATCCTAATTGGGTGTTTCCACATTCTTGGTTCCTGTTAAGTTATTCCTATTACATTGGATCACTTGGTGGGGAGTTTCTTCTAATTTGATATCACAGAGCCTTTATTGTAATCACACTTGTAGTGCCAGTGATTTCTGGTCTCTGTCCATGTTTTCATATTCTTGTCTGTTGAAGTTTGTTTTCAACAGTTTCCTGTTTTTGCGATTCCTAACTTTTCCAGAATGTTAGCATGGATAATTATATCTCCTCTGAATGTACCAGATTGATTTCATACTAGGAGGTTGGATTCACTGCAAGTTGCCATCAGGTGGAGCCTTGAACATAACGAGCCTCTCGTCCTATTTGAAACCCTCAACTGATGCACCACACTTCCTGATAGATGTTATCCAGAACAGCAGAACGTCTCTTGTGCTGATTCTCGATTTAACGCCACGCAAGGACCTCATCCTAAATCTCGACTACCTTAAAACTTACTATGAAGACACTCAGTTGGACACGTACAGACAATGCCTTCAGGGGCTACCTGAGGTCAGTCCTTACTTCTCACCATCTTTATATATCCGCTCTGTTCTTTCTCCAACAGCTATACTAGTTGGCATCGACACTGGAGATGGTGAAAAAAGCATTGAGGAAATGATTCAAGAACATATCAGTCCTATTGCCAAGGAGATAGTGCAATTATGGTTGGATAAGTGTGCTTCTGTGGAGAAACAAGTGGGAGAAACTGAGAGGGCATATTTGGCAAAGAGGGATCAAATAATTAAGAGTAAGACTATTGAGGTTGATCTAGGTTCGAGCTTTCCAAGGTTGTTTGGACAAGAAGTATCTGCTCAGATTTTAGGTGTGTTGAGGGAATATTATAATGCATAAATTTTCCATTCCTCGCATGTAATAATGTAAAGGTTTCGCCAAAAAATATAATTTGTAATATACTTTCCAAGCAATTCCGAGAAGCTCGTTCTTTCCCATATTTTGAGCACTTTTTTTGACCTTGGAATTACTATTTAAGTGAATAGTTTTGCTAAATATACATCAAATTTGATATCAAGTTTGACATTGTTGTAAGGTGACAACTTTTTATACACTGATTTTAACAACACTTTAAACAATCGATTGCACAGATTTTAATAGATCTTGGAATGTCAATCTTACGAAGAGTATACAAGTAGTTTAATTCATAAGTGAAAACATGAGCAGATCTAATAATTGTAGGTGGCAAAAAATTGTTAGTTGAAAAGACGAAATCTTTTTTAAACTGTTCAATGATAATATGACACGAGGCATGTTGTCAACAATGTTGTAAACCAACATTACCCACCAAGCATGATTCTAATCTTATTACTTCGCCGCCTGTGGCAGAATTTGAAAAGATAGTACATCTGCATAAGCTGCTGGTTTCCTTGGAATCGAGATTTATAATAAATAGAATTGGTTACTTTTGAGTTAAAATTTGAAGCAATGATTTAGAAAGTTCTACGTATATGAAGCATAAATTCTTGATCCTGATCATGACTGGTGTAGGACATAGCCTATGTTTAAGAAATGCACTAGAAAATAAGTCGACAATTTCTATGGACTTGTGCAGATGCAAGAGTGATCTCTCTATACATTTCATACTATATTTCAATAGTTTTGATAACTCATTGTAAGAATCGTTCTTTTTTACTCTGTAGTCGTACCCATAGAAGAAGATTGTGAGTTTTAGGATTTTGCTTGAAGTCGTGCAATGTCGAAAGTATCCATACGAAGGAAATACCACACAATTTTAGGACAATGATTATCATGATTCTCTCAGATCGGACTTTCTTATCTCTTAATTTCCATATTTTATTTGTTATTAACTTGTACAATTCAGTGTTATTAAAATTTATTGTCTAAATTATAAAATCTTTACAAAAAACCACGTTTCATTAGACGTACCCGATTAAACAATGTTATTAAAATCTATACTTTCGTGAGTTACCATATTTTCATTTTCGACACACGACAGTTGTCGGCATATAACTATTATACTAAAGGTACAGCAGGACAGATAATACCTGATAGACAATATTCATTATCAAGAATATTGCACCATTTAAACATGAAATAAATCCCAAACACTAATTAATTTAATCTTATAGCTTAATGGCATACCAAAATAGAATTCAAAAGCAAAATATTCCAATCAAAAGAGCACGTGTAGTTGCGTTGTCTTCATTTGCTACTTGCTACCAGATTCTCTCACCACTACAACTTTTTGGCAATTCATTATCGACATATAAAAACCTTTATACTGATATGAAACAGAACAATTTCTTGATCAACGAAGATGGCTATTGTGTGCTGTATACAGGTTTTAAAGCCCAACAAAGAGATGACAGTGGATGAATTCAAAGCCTGGCTCCGCAGCTTCGACGCGGACAAAGATGGTCGTATTAGCCGTGAAGAGCTGCAAGAGGCCCTACGGAGCCTCCACGTGTGGTTCGGCTGGTGGAAAGCTCGCCGGGGAATGAAGGCCGTAGATTCTGATCATACGGGGCATATCGATAATGTGAAGGAGATCGAGAAGTTGGCGAATTACGCACAGCAACAGTTGAGTTTGAAGATTTATGAAAACTAGGATTGTTGAATTTTGAGCACTTTTTTTGGTGTGTTAACGATAAGCACCATATTGTTCTGTGTTTAATAAATTAGAAGTAGATTTACTTTCAGGCTTTGTTGGTTCCCAGTGTCCTGGTAGATGATTATGTTTTGATTGTCCGACATAAGCAGATCTAATAACTGTCTTTTCCATGGATATTAGGAAGATTGTTGTCGAAAATTCGACTATCCCAATCGAAAGAACAAATAAAAAAGCAGGAAAAACGGAAAAAAGAAGAAGACGAAGCGAGGTATGCCAAAGCAAATCTCCTTAAGACAGATTTCGCCCCCCAACAACGTGCAAACAGGATTATGGACGTCTGTCTCCCAAGATACAACGCTTTTCCCAAAGTCGATATTGCACAATACCTACCTTGACGGTCGAACCAAATAACGATCGTACTCGAATGAAATAATCACGAAAATATCGAAGGAATTTTAGCAGAATATGGAGCGAGAAGAATTTAGAAATCAAGAATATATTAATTGATTTTTGGTGTCCAAAAAACGAATTTGGAGGTCTCTATTTATAGAGATTGAAGTGTCTCCTTGAAAGGGTGTGTAACATTTCATGAATTGGTGCACCACTTGATCTGATCTGTTTTAGCCATTGGATCGCACTCTTTCATAATCTGACGGACCAGATTAAACCACGAAATGTAGTGTCCATTCATCATGTCTATTCACCAATTCTGAACAGTCACCAGCCATGCAGTTGCCACGCGTACGTCCAACAGGACCAACCGCCATGCAGGACGAAGTGACGTGACCTGTTACGTGTGTGCCACCTAGGATGCCAACTCATCGAGCCTCTCATCGCCATGTCATCGAACCATGACTCCATTTCTGAAAACTATAAGGCTCCTCAGCTCCTCGCGACGATGCGTACGTGCGAAGTGCGCCTCTAAAGCGCCCAATGCGTACTTTGCGACGTGCGCGGGCCCGGACCGGGACCGGGGCGTGGCGTGGCGTGAGTGGTGCGAAGCACCACTCTCGTGGTGACTAGTTAGCTAGCCTTTGGCTAGCTAATAGTTAGTCAAGTTGTAGGTCACTTATTAAATTATAACTTATACACATATCCCACTATATAAACAAGTCTATTTTCTTGTAAACTTTCGATGTGGGATTCCTTACCATATATAAGACACTTAAATGGGCTTATAACATATGGGCCTATATTGGAGACTTTTCCAATTCACCCAAATTAATTACAACGGCCCACATCATTAAATAACATATTTAATGACCCAAATAAACATCATTAAATAACATATTTAATGATCCAAATAAATCAATTAATTCCAACAATCCCCCACATGAATGGAAGAAGTCGACTCAAATCAAGGAAGATAAAAGAAGAGTACAATTTGAAAGATAACAACCCAAATTAATTACAACGGCCCACATCATTAAATAACATATTTAATGACCCAAATAAACATCATTAAATAACATATTTAATGATCCAAATACATCAATTAATTCCAACAATCCCCCACATGAATGGAAGAAGTCGACTCAAATCAAGGAAGATAAAAGAAGAGTACTATTTGAAAGATAACGCATCAAGATAGGTAGCTTTCGCTTTGAACCTTCTTTAGTAAGAATCTATCGAACTCACTTGGCTAATCAGTGAACGCAACGTTTTGAACTATCAGCCGTTATTGCAAGCTCAGACAATAGACCAAACACATTATCTCTCATATCAAACTTGGTTCTCTATTGTGTTCATTATTTCGGCCCTGAACTACTTGGGTTCTGCGAGTGCTTTAGAGAATTCGCCTAAGTAAATTCTCAAAGAACCGGCCAAGTTCGCACTTACATAGGTGATGTTCTATAAAGAATACCTTTATAGTCATCATTAAAAGCAAAAGCTTATCCTTAATCAACTTCATAGTCAGCACTTTTTGCATCATAGAAATGGGAAGGAGTTAAACTCCTAAGTGCTTCTTATCGAGTCATTCATAATTAGTTTTCCTATTGAACCTAGTCCATGGGATCTCCAATTGCTAGGTTAGGTTTCCACTAAGATGACTCATTGGGTTTTAGGCTTTAAACCCATTTCCCTCGATGCGCAGTCTATACGCTCTCTAGATAACCCTTTAGTAAACGGATCCGCTAGGTTTTCTTTTGACTTAACAAAATCAATTGATATTGTTCCATTTGAGAGCAACTGACGAACGGTATTATGTCTACGACGGATGTGTCTTGACTTACCGTTATACACAAAATTTTCGGCCCTGGCTATTGTTGCCTGGTTATCGCAATGAATACAAATAGCCGGTACAGGCTTTGGCCATATAGGAATATCTTCTACGAAATGTCTTAACCATTCTGCTTCTTCTCCTGCTTTATCTAAAGCAATAAACTCAGATTCCATAGTAGATCGAGCTATACACGTTTGTTTAGAAGATTTCCACGATATGGCGCCACCACCAAGAGTAAATACATAGCCACTGGTAGACTTAGACTCGTCTGTATCTGATATCCAATTGGCATCACTATATCCTTCAATTACTGGAGGATATTTTTTATAACATAATGAATACTCTCTGGTCCGTTTCAAGTATCCCAAAACTCTAAGTAATGCATCCCAATGTTGATTACTTGGGTTACTTGTGTAACGACTGAGCTTACTTACCGAGTAAGCTATATCAGGTCTTGTACAATTCATTAAGTACATTACACTACCAATAATTTGAGAATATTCTAATTGTTGTTTCCCATTTCCACTATTCTTGTGAAGAACTACATGAGGAAGAAATGGGTTACTAGAACAGTGATATGATGGGAAATGTGTGGTTGAAAAATAAGAAATAATTATTGATGTGGTGGAAAATATTATTTTATTGAAGAATGTGTGGTTGAAAATGAGAATTGATTTACTGTAGAAAATCAAAATCCATATCAAACAGGCTCCTATTAAATTTTATTTAAGTCTCTCCTAAGAACCAATAGCCTCAAAAGATTTTAGTAAAATAGCAACGGTCTGTTTATTCTGCAAAAATGATGACGATTGTTTAAGGCAACCTCCACCACCTCCCGTCCCGTCAAGCAATTCTCCGCCCCGTCCCCTTCCCGTTACCTATTTAAGGCTAGGCAGGGCTGGGTCCTTGCCCTGTTTACTACTCCATTTAATTTTTATTTTTTTTAATTTTTTGATAATTTATTTTTATTACCCACATTCATTAGATTTAAACAAATAATTTTAGTTGTCATTTTTTATAAGAACTAATGAAATTTCGTGA